TTTTTTTAAAAACTTCTAGCTTAGAAAATGAGAAGAAAAGAAAAATAAAAATTTTGAGGATAATTTCATATAAGTCATTACGCACATCTAACACAAATGTAGGTTCCTTATTGGCAACTTTTGAAATCTCATATTTTTATGGGCAAAACTCTATGTTAACCCCCAAACTTACCACAAATTCTTAATTAAACCCTTAAATTTTTATTAAAACAAATAAGCCCCTAAATTTGTTGAGTCGGGCAATTTAACTCTTTTCTTTACAACAAACCTAATGTCTATTGTGCACCGCTTGTATGAATAAAATATTAGTATATTATTGGTTACGTGATAAGTATTGACATTATCTATGTAAGTAAAATATAAATAAGTGTTAAGTTGTTATAAGAAATAATGTTAAATTACCCATATTGATAAATTTAAGGATTTATTTGATTCAATAAAAATTTAAGAATTTAATTGAGAATCTAAAGTAAATTCAAGATTTAACATAGGGTTTTTCCATCTTTACATGTATGTATCTTAAATTACAAATATATTGTGTTCATTAAAATATTGAGCCTTTCTGTATATCAATCTTAAATTACAAGTAGTTAAAATTTAATTTTCCCAAGATAAAACTATGATAACGTAAGGCTAACTTATGTTGGAGAAAGCATGTGACCATCACGAGATTAGTGAGTGCTTAAAAAGGTAATAAATTCACTCGAAAAGTTGGATAAATACGTTAGACATGGTCAGATGCATACAATCTCAAAATATAAAAAGTTAAATGTCAATTTGAATCCTTACACTTTGTATTTTGAACATTTTAAAATTTTAAATTATTTTCAATACTTTTTCGATCCTCAACTCTACAAATTACTCTTCTTTTTTTTTTTTGTCTTTTCGTTAGCTAAATAATGGTATGGCCATTATCTCAGTTTAAGATGACAATTTGTTGCGATGGGGTTATAACACATCATTAAATTAGCTTCATGTACTCATACTCTCATAGTGCCAAAAAAATGTTTATAATGGAAGAAGTTTGAGAGGAAAAAAAGAAAAATTTCAGAATATTTTTGTCCATTTTTATAAGTTTTAACATTTTAACCTATAAAGAAATTTAATTGGGGGATAGTTTTTAGTTTTTTTAATTTATTATTTTATTCATTTAAGCTAAAATTACTAACTTGGACTTTATATATTTTGTTCAATTAAATAATTCATCTATAATATACATGCCATCAAAAAAATTAAAGAAAATAAGTTTTTAAATAAGTTTAATAATCACATCATCACTTAACTGATAAGAGGATGAAAAAAATGCATTATATAGAGTTAAGGAGCTAAAAAAGTGCTGAAAATAGTTTAGAGACCAAAATGTTCAAAATTAAAAGTTTAGGAACTAAAATTGGAATTTAACCAATATAAAATAACGTTAAGCGTGTTTTCGGTAATAGAACAAGGAAACTTCCAGGCTGTCACGGCGAACCGACGTAACTAGGTCGGCAGATCTAAATTTCACGCCTTCCCCTATATATACCCTTCATCCCTCAATTGCTCTCCCCCATCTAAACCTAGCTTTTATTTTTCTCCTCCTAGTTTTATTCTTCTTTGCCGCGTTCTTCAAACCCTAGCCCTAGGTCTCTCTTCGTGGTGTTGGGTCTGAACTCGCCGCTAGTCACCGTAATCGCCACCGCGAAACCCTAGTTCTGTAGATCTCCCGATAAGTAGAACCTTGGGATCTCGAAATAATGTCTCGCTGCTTTCCTTACCCGCCTCCGGGTTATGTGAGGCGCGGAGTGCATAGCGCAGCCTTGATCGAATCGATTAAGGTTGGTTGGGCGAACTATTTGGTTTTCGCGTTTTTTGATCCGAATTGCTTGTTGTGATTGAGATCTGATTGTTGTTGTAAATTTTTTTTATTGTAAATACGATAGCCCCTTGTTAATTTTGCCCCTCAGCTGTGCAATGTACAGGACACGATGAAAATTGTTATTTATGTTAAAATTTAGTGTTTGAATCGTAGATATACTGTCTGAATGGCTTGTAGGGACTCCAAACTGAGTTCTGGTTTTTGTAGATCGGCTTTTTCCGTTATCTTTTTGCTTGTTGCGACAGGGTAGATCCTGACGGGAAACCCCTTTTACAGAAGTATGACCCTTGTTTCAGTTTCTTTGTAGGTTTTCTCTCATACTAATAGAGAATATTATATTTGAAATTCAATAACGTTGGATCTAGTTTACTAAGGGAGTTTGTAGGGTTGTGATTTTTTGAGATTAAAGATTGTGGTTGTTATATCTATGATAACTCAATAGCCCTTAGGAAGCAAGTGATTTTGTTGACACTGAAATCTTCCCACTTAATTTGTGTGGTCAATCATGATTCTTTGGTCTTCCCTTGCCCTTCTATTCTAAATACTTTATTCTGGTACAATAAAGTTCCAGAAGGAAGGGGAGAAGGCTAAAACAGAACAGGGAAAAGAGAAGAAAAGGGAGAAGGGGAGAAGTAAAGAGAAGAAACTAAAGGCTGAGAAAACCCTCGTAACTGCTGAGAAATTGAAGAAGCCTGAGGATGAAAAAATTAGAGTTGAAACTGAACAATTGGAGAAGAGTGACCTTACTGAAGAGCACGGGCATCCTTGCTACTTGTCTGATGGTTCACAATCCAGCAGTAAGAGGAAAAGAGAGGCTCCGTCTAATGAATGCCAAAGTAAGGGCCTGTTTTGATTTGTCTACCTATTTGATTAAGCAATCTTGGCCTAGGCTTGTATTTTCCTCTTGGTTCGATCTTAATAGCATTTTTTATGTTGGACAGGGCCTGTTATAAGACGAATTCGTTTTACCTTCAAAAATTCACAGCAGTCTGAGGCATCAACCAGCAAGGAACTCGCACCTTCCAGGAGTTCCCTTGCCCAGCAGACACACCTTGCAAAACCAATTAACAATGTAAGAGAGTTGGGTCCTTTGCCTGGTCAGGATCGACCACACCCTCAAGATGCTGGTAGGAAATCAAATGGCACTGGAACATCGTCTATAACCTTGTTTGATGGTAAGCTGCAAAGAGCAGCATTGAAGTACAAGGACTTGATTGAGGATTGGGTTCCGCCACTTCCTCAACAAGAGCTAGATGATGATGGTCAAGAATGGCTATTTGGGACAAAGGCCCAAGAACGACCTGCTACAAGATATGAAACTGTCCATGATTTCTCCTGCCAAGGAAGCAGTAGCTTGTGGTCACATGCCAATTATCTTCCTGAGGCTCAGATATATGCATTGCCCTTCACTGTTCCATTTTGATTCATTTAGCTGGTAGTGGTAATTGAAAAGCTTGAGGGCAGAGTAAAATTTTTTGTGACTTTGCTCTTGTTGAATATGTACAGATAATTGAGTTTTTACTATCCTTGAAATGAAAAGATAAGTTTTTAATCTTCTACAAGGCTTGCAATTACCAGTGTATCTTTTCTTGTTTGATGTCTGCCTTTTTTAAGGTTGATTTTTTTCTTTGCAATGAATGTTGGGGTGAAAGCTCCAATTGGACAAGGTACAAAGGTTAATTGTCATTACGATGTGCACCAGACATTTGAAAAATGTATCGGAACAAAATAATTGATAGCCAAATGGGCAATGGTAAAATGAAAGAATGAATAGCTGGGAACCATGCACAAAAACAATCCTTATCGTCAAACTAGCTGTTCTTTCAAGTAGTCTCCAAATTTGAAGCGTTGGTTGAGCTTGGCATCGGTTGTAGAGGTGGTAGGGATTCCACAGGGCAATGTCACCGTTTGTTTCACATTTTCAGATGAAAAAACCAGAGGAACCGGAGGCAGTTGATGACTGCAATTGTGAAGATGATCCTCGTGATCTCCAGACTCCTGTAGATCAGTAACATAAGCAGAATACCATTCCCTCGTTTCCTTCTCTCCTCTTAATAGTTCTAGCACCTAGACATCAGCCCAAAACCAACTTTGTTAACAGATAATTTGACAAGATCACTAAAGAAGCAGAACTTGAGAGAAGTTGCAGTGGGAATTAGAATAATGCCAACCTGACTTGCTTTTGGACGATGTTGAGGTGACTGACTGATGCAGAAGGAGGCTGCTAGTAACATTCTATGCATCTGAACAATGTCCAAGTCCCCATCTAACTTCGCGTCCAGTAGTTCTTTGAGATTCCCTCTCTCTATCAATGGTTTTGCCTGCGTTAGATTATATGGTTATTATGGGATTCAGAGAATAATTGTCTCTAAAATTGACATCATGCCATCAAGTGAAATAGAAATGCTTACCCATTGGATTATACTAACTGGTCTCTTCCCCGATATCAGTTCCAAAAGCACAATCCCAAAAGAGAACATATCAAGTTTGTCACTAACCCTTCCTTGCATCAAATACTCAGGAGCTATGTACCCAAATGTCCCCAGGACACTGCTGTCAATCAAGTAAGATGAATCCTTTGGCATCCATACGGCTAGCCCGAAATCAGATAACTGACGAAATCAGAACATATGTAAATTATGGTTATTACTCAGAAGTACACAAGAAATAAATTAAAATATATGTTTTAAGTGTGACGTAAAGAAATTCTGCAGCAAGTGGTACCTGTGGCTGATAATCATCAGAGAGAAGAATGTTAGAAGATTTCACATCTCTGTGAATGACAGGCTGGGGACTTTCATTGTGCAAGTAATTCAGAGCCTCAGCAATTGTGATGGCCACATTAAACCTAACCCCCCATGGCAAAACTGAATTTTCACCATTGCCTGATTTCAGACAAAGTCACTTGTATCAATAAGCAACGCAAACGTTTGGAGAAAAGGGAAAAAAAAGCAAAATTTTTTAGCAGTAAAAGATTACCATGAAGATTCTCCTCCAAACTCCCTTTGGGAAAGAACTCATAGACTGAGATAAGTTGGTCGTCTTCAATACAAACACCTAGCAAAGTTGTAACGTTTTTGTGCTTCAATGACAAAAGAATATCGACCTCCAAGGAGAAATCACACATTGCTTCCATGTATGACTTCAGAATTTTAACTGCCACCAGTTTGCCACTTGGGAGACACCCTTTATATACATTGCTACACCCTCCCTCTCCAATCAAATTATCTGTTAAAAATGTCAAAGTAAAACAAACCTTCAACAAAAATCAAAAGCTTTGTGTCCTTTGACTAAAAGTGTGGGTAAATTCCAAGTGGAAGAAACATGACATGAGAGATAACCTGAAGAAAATTCAGAAGTTGCTCTCCTCAGCTCCTCAGAGCTGAATAGCTTGCAACCTGATGAGCTTAATTTAGAGAAAAGCTCCAAATGTCTTTGCAGTTTTCCCTTTGCAGGAATTCTCATAGCTTCATCTTCCAAGAATGAATCTAAAGTCTTGGAACCTGTAAAGAAAAGAAGGGGCCAGCCTGGTAATACTGTAGTAGAGGAAAGTTCCATTTTGTCTCCACAATCGAGATCACAGTTTACATCTTTCAAATATCTACTAGAAGCATTCAATTCCTCTTCATATTCATCAATAGCTTGAAGATTTGGTCCTCCAGTATTGCAATGCTTAACAGGAAAACCATTAACATCAACTTCGAAAGCAGTTCTGGTTTCTGGGGCAAATTTACCAGGCAAGTTCATCACACATTCAACCACTGACGTACTTCTAATTTCAGATGTTTCCTCCTCACTTGTACGAGTTTTTCTTCTAAGCAATGGCCATCCAAGATTTGTTTCTTGCAACTCCCTTCGGATTACAGATATAGAGCGCGAGAAAGTTGCCTTCTTATCATGGTTAGAGCTATAAGAACTTACATCTTCGAGACATTCATTACCATCTCTTGTTTCACCTTTGGCGGTCTTATCCACGGGGAATTCTGCTTCTTCAACCTCTGCATCTTTCAGCCTAGCTATGTTCTCACCGACAAAAGACTCTGATCTTGAATTTAACCCAAAACCTGCAAAACTAATAAGAGATCAGAGACATATAACACTGCTTAAAGGAGTAAAACTTATGGACAATTCAGACCTCTTAAATTGTAAACTCGAGGCCTTTTGAAGATGTCATCCTTTCCCTTGTAGACAGCTAGAAGAGAAGCAGTTGTCGGTAACTGATTTCCATGATAGCAGGCATATGAAATCAAGTTCCTACAAAAAATTTCCAACTCCTTACCAGGAAAACAAAAAAGAACTTCAAAATTTGACATGTATGTATCTCCATAGTATTGAACTTACCAGAGATCATTTTCTGGGTCTGTTCCCATAATTACTTCCATCGCTGCACAGTACTTTCTCAGCTTCTTCAAAAACCCTCGAATCCAACCTTTTTGTGAAGTTCGACTGGTTATGTTTATACAGGCAGCTCTACCTTTTTCTGGAACCAAATGGATTAAGACTAAATCATAACCTTGCTGTTTTAATGTTAGAAGGTCCCCTTGAAGTACCAGCTTGTTTTCTCTAATCTCCATTGCTGAAACTTTCATGTTACTCATCATTTCCCCTTTTGATCATCCAGTCAACTTCAACCTTCAAATGGGTCCTCTTCAATTTTGTACAATTACCTCAGCGGAAAAAGCCACCTGTTGTAGACTTAAAAAGGAAGATTCAAACAATTCCTAAGAAAATTCTCTGACATTTCATCGAGCGGTTATAATGGAACGGTGAAAGGTGAAACGTGAGAATACTGGTCCCTGAAAAGGATTTAACGACTGAAGAATACCCCATTTTTGGGGGTGGGACAATAATTTTTTGTAATTTTTTAATTTTTATTTTATGGGAAACAAGAATTGTTTAATTGCGATAAAACAAAGCAAGATGAGACGACAGTCACGACACGCATCTTTTTGTCCTTAATCATTGACCGATTAGTGTATATTCGGCCTTCTCTATCCATCTAACCCACCAAACCGGCTTTCAAAATAGTGGGCTCAATTCCACCAGCAAAAGTCGTTAGTCAGATTGCGACTCAATACTCGCCATCACTTTGTTCCAAAGAAATCTGCTTGATGAATACCCATTGCCGAAGTAAAATTTTGAACGAAGTTCCAGTGTTTAAATTGGGATTTGCTAGATTATTGGTACAACAAATGGAAAGGTAATATGGAACAGTTGGAGCCCCGGAGAAAGATTTGAC